CCCTTTACATGGGAAATGGTCAAGCAAACTGAAGAGCCAATGTTATATCAAAGAGTGACCAATGGTAGGATTCTCATCCGTACAACTTATGTCCATCAATGAAAATATAGTTTTCTTCAGGCAATTGAGGCACACCTTTATTGATGCCCCTGACATAGGAGGCACAAGAAGTAAAAACTCTGTGAGTTCAAGGAAAGCCCTCTCAGAACATACCAGAGAACTCTTTGCGTAGCAAGGCAGACACACTTCTACATCTCCCTGAGTATCAAGCATATTATTTCCTGGAGAGTAGTTCTTATTAACTTGATCAGCAGAAAACCAAACGATTCTTTTCTTGATATTGGCTGGAAAACTTGTCCATATGAAGATCCCACAAAAGTCAGGGATGTAAGGTAGAAGATTTTCAGCTGACTCCAACTGCCAACTCCCATTCTTGCTCAGTGCTCGTATGGGACACAGTGCAGTAATGCTATAGCTTTCTTGCTAATATCTTTTTCTGGATGACCAACTCCCTCTATTTCTGCTGGGCCTGCAGATTTTTTCCAGTCTCTTCTGTTCCTTTTCATTAGATTATTGTGTTCTTAGGAAAGGTTTGATTTCAGGGATGAATACAAGCACACAGGGAGAATTCCATGAGCTTGATGGTATTCCAGTCTAACCAAAACAAAAAGTTTCTGGGAAGGAAGAGTGGCTGTTTCAGGGTAGAGACAGATCAATCTACTGGTCTCTTCAAGACTTGATTCACATGCAAGAGGTACTACACCCCTTCCAGAGATCTAATCTCCCCAAAGACAGAGAGAGAGAGAGAGAGAGAGAGAGAGAGAGAGAGAAACAGAGCAAAACAGAGAGACAGACAGACACTCAGAATGAATTTAAACACAAGACTTGGTGAGGAGAAAACATACTAGATGACCACAAATGTTTGGACTAAGCACAGCGGTTCTTTCAGAAGAATCCAATGATGCTGCTCTCCATTCATCAGGACTAAAATTGCATAGCAGAACATGTTTTGCTAGGCCAGATTGTATTAAACTTGGTGGAGAACTTTTTGCCTAGAAGTCTCTGATTTCCCCCAAAAAATCTTCTAGCATGTCACAAGCCAAATTCACATGCATGGACATCCAATCTTCACCATGTTGTAAGGGCTGTGACAGGATAACTTACCAGGGAAACACACAGAATGTACTTCTGCAAAAATCCCACTGAGGTTTCTTTCAGTGTGAAGCAAGAGTTTATCATGGTGATGCGACCACATTGGGTTGCAGAGAATAGGAGGAAGAAAAGCCAAATGCCATCAAACACAGAGACCGATAATTTATAGTAGGCTTTCCTCCTTGCAAGCTGCTTCTCATGACCCCACTGGGATCTCACATGAACCATTAAGAGAAAAAGAACCACAAGACATGGAACTCCTTCCCTGCTGTCAGTACATAACACTCCTCCCATCAAAATGACATGTAAGTGTGTGATGTGCCATTGACCGATTTCCTGCTTGAGCTAGAGTTTCAAGGAGAGCATCAAGGTCTGTTTGCCAATTGTTTCTTACAAGAGACTCATTTCCAAGAAATACTTATGCATGGACATAGGAATGAACAGCTGGATATCATGAGAGTGAAGAGGAAAAAATGTGAGTGGGAGGGCTAGTAAAGAGATATGTGAAAGAACATTTGGGTTTGATGGTGCAAAGTTTAATGTTACATGAGGGAATGGTGCTTGACTTAAACCTGATCCAACTGCTTTGCCCAACCTGTTGATTCTGGGTCTGGAGGTCTCAAATGACTTTTTATTCTTCGTGGCAGTTCCCTTAATGTTCTCTCAAGCAGTGCTGCAGCAGGTGTCTGGTAGAAACAATTTATCAGTACATTCTGACATCTGCTGTGGTAAAATTGCAACATAAACCACTGCTCTCACTTCCTAGACATGCACAGACATGCTCTACCTCAGAGGCAAGTTGCTTATGTGCAGGCTACTACCAATCTGGCAAGTCTGAATCCTCCTCCCAAAACTGCTTAGATTGAGCACTAAGAGATGTTCCTAACCATGCCACACACCATTGCCTCCATTCCGTGAGGGATCAGGCTATACTGCACATGGGCCTGGCTTTTTTCCTTATCTTTTAATATCTACTATAATTTGTATGGAGAAGTACAGTGAGCTAGCAAAATTTCTTCAATTGTCTAGACATATTAATTTGGATAAATAGCAGCAGTGTAGAAAAGTTTGAGCTCATATCATATATGCATGGCATGGATTAGACAACAGAGGGATGTGAGCTACCTGGAAAACAGAATTTTGAGCCTCTAGGGGAGCCTAGACATGACTATAGTTTGGAAACTTATTATTGCTACAGGACACAAACCAGTCTGAGTTCAACTCTTCAATTGCTAAATCCTCTTAGAACCCAAAGGTGCTGAATGTTTTGCTTTGTGTTCCAGGAGAGATTCCTGAATAGAGAAACCCAATTTCTGCTGAGGTGTGAGGAAAGCTAGTTAGCAGGGTGGACATGTTTTTTCCACATGACATCCAGTAGCCCCTTCCCTGAAATTCCATTGTGTCCTAGAGACCATGGAATCTAGTGATGTCACCTGGTCACCTGTGTTGTAGCAACACCAACTGCTTTTGGAGAGTCAGTCCTTCAGCACCCTTAAGGTTCAAAGATGAACATGTTGGCAAGATTGGGTGATCTGCTTAGCAAAGACTATGGAGAGGGAAGAGAGACCAGAAGTAGGATGAGCTTCAGCTTCAGTTTAAACTCTCAAAGAAGAAAAGGTTCAAAAAGAAGAACAGCAATTCCTGGGCAGAAGATAGGGAACTCCTAAGAGAAGGTTGTTTTTAGCTTGGAATTCAGGTAATGGAGTACAAGAACTGGTGTTTCTGGGAAGTATTTTGGCATAACTGCTTGACAGGGCTTCTGGAAATCAAGGATTCCAGGGTGGTAATTTGTCTCTTCCAGAAGCTAGGAAGTGCCAAGGCAAAAGCTGTTCTACTGGGAGGTCTTGGTTTAACATCTTACAGTACAGTGATGGTTGATGGAGGACCAGCAACATAATGAGGAACAAGTAGTGTGCCCAGCTACAGGCAGGTCATGACTGTACTGGCACACCAGTGGATAACTTTAAGTAATATGCTCCTTCTCAGTGTGGACTGATTTGTTCTTTGACTTTGTGCATCTATTGATCCTGTTCTGCACCTGTAATGCATCCCCACCCACATATAGCCATGTGCTTGGAGAGACATTTCAGGATGTTTAGGGTTATCAAAAATGGATTTCCCATTCAACTTCTATGAATTTGTAGGGTTTCTTTAATTTGTGTTGTTGTTGAATTCTAATATTAAACCATGGTGGTCTGATAAGGTGCATGGAGTTATTCCAATTTTCGTACCTGTTGAGATTTGATATGTTTCCAAATATGTGGTCAAGACTTGTGAAGGTTCCATCTGGCAATGTAAAGAATGTATATTCTTTTTTATTTCGGTGGAATGTTCTATAGATTTCTGTTAATTCCAATTGTGTCACAACTTCTATTTGTCCCTTTGCTTCTTTGTCAAATTTCTGTCTTGTAATCCTGTCTAGAGTTGAGAGGGTGGTGTTGAAGTTTCCAAATATAAGTGTGTGGGGATTTATATGTGATTTGAGTTTTAATAATGTTTCTTTTATGAACATGGGTGCCTTTGTATTTGGGGCATAGTTGTTCAAAATTGAAATTTAATCTTGGTGTATTTCTCCTGTGATGAATATGAAGTGCCCTCCTTCATCTATTTTGATTTACTTTATTTTGAAATCTAATTTGTTAGATGTTACAACTGCTACCCCCGGTTGTTACTTGGGTCCATTTGATTGGAAAATCTTTTCCTAATCCTTAACTCTGAGGTTATGTCTGTCTTTGATGCAGAGGTGTGTTTATGGAAGCAGCAGAAGAATGGGCTCTGTCTTCAAATACATTCTTTTAGCCTGTGTCTCTTTAGAGGCAAGTTAAGACTATTAATATTGAGGGATATTAATGACAATTGGTTGCTCATTCTTGTTTGTTTAGAAATAGTGATTGGTGGTGATGGTTCTGGCTGTTAGTAGAGTGAGATTCTCTAATGTCTATGTTTTTCTGGTTGTAGTTAATTCCCTTGGGTTATTGTTCTCCTTCCAAAACTTTCTGTAGGGCTGGGTTAGTGGATACGTATTGTTTAAATATGGTTTGACATGGAATATCTTGTTTTCTCCATCTATAGTAATTGAAAACTTTCCTGGGTATAGCTTTCTGGCCTGGCCTCCATTGTTTCCTAGTGTTGATAGAATTCTATCGAGGACCTTCTAGCTTTCAGAGATTCCATGGAGAAGTGATGTGTGATACTGATAGGTTTGCCTTTGCATGTTACTTGGCCTTTTTCCTTTGATGCTCTTATTATTCTTTATTCTGTATGTACAGGGTTTTTTCTATTATGTTGTGACCGAATTTCCTTTTGTAGTCCACACTATTTGGTGTTCTGTAGTGTTCTTGTACATTCATTGGCACGTCTTTCTTTAAGTTGGGAAAGTTTTCTACTAGGATTTTGGTGAATATGATTTCTGACCCTTTGAGGTGCATTTTTTCAACTTCTATACCTATTCTTCTTAGGTTTGGTCTTTTCACAGTGTCCCATATTTCCTGGATATTTTGTCTTAGGAATTGTTGGACTTCAGATTTTCGTTGGTCCATGAATCTATTTCCACTAGTGTATCTTCAACACCTGAGATTCTGTGTTCCATCTCTTGTATTCTGATGGTTATGCTTGTATCTGTAGTACGTGACAATTTGCCCCAACACCCTACATCCCCAACTCCATTACCTGGGCATTTTCTGTGCCTAGAGAAGACGTGCCCCTTCTGGAAGGACTACCTTGAGTGTCCCCACACCTCAGTTTTCAGTGTCTTCCAGGCCTTTAGGTACTTAAGTTGGTTGGGGGCCCTGCTCTGAATCCCAACTCCTTTATCCCTGGCTCCATCTCCCTGGGTGTTTTCTACACCTAGATAAGACCTATGCCTCCCGGTATGATCACCCTGAGTCTGCCCACAGCTGTGTCTTCCAGTACTTTGCCAGTGCTTAAGGTGAGTGGGGGCCCTGCTATGAGCACCAACTCCCTACCTCCCGAGCTCCTACTCCCTGGGTGTTTTCTGCACCTATAGATGACCTTTCCACCCGTGGAAGGACCTACTTGAGTCTGCCCACACCTTAGTCTTCAGTGTCTTTTGGTACTTTCCTGGTGCATAAGTTGACTGGAAGCCCTGCTCTGAGCCCTAACTTCTTACATCCCTGAACCCTATACCAGGGCATTTGCTGTGCCTAGAGAAGACCTATGCTTAATGGAAGGATCACCATGAGTTTGCCCACACCTGTGACTTCTGGTCCTTTTCTGGTGCTTAAGGTGAGTGGGAACCATGTTCTGATCCCCAACTCCCTAAATCCTTGGCTCCATCTCCCTGGGTGTTTTCTGTGCATAGAGAAGTCCAGCAACTCTTGGAAGAATCATCCTGAATCTGGCCATACATTTGTCTTCTGGTCCTTTCCCAGTGATTAAGGTGAGTGGGGACCCTGCTCTGAGCCCCAAATCCCTACATCCCCAGCTCTATCTCCTTGGGCATTTTCTGTGCCTAGAGAAGACAAAGGCCTCCAGGAAGGATCACCCTTTGTCTGCCCACACCTGTGTCTTCCAATCCTTTCCTGTTGCTTAAGGTAAGTGTGGGCACTGCGTTGAGCAGCAACTCCCTACATCCCTGGCTCTGCCTCACTGGGTGTTTTCTCTGCCTAGAGAAGACCTACACCTCCCAGAAGGAGCACCAGGAGTCTGTACATGGCTGTGTCTTCTGGTGCTTTCCTGGTGCTTAAGGTGAGTGGAGGTCCTGCTCAGAGCCCAAACTTCCAACATCCCCATCTCCCTCTCTCTGAGCATTTTCTGCACCTAAAGAAGACCTGCCCCTCTCAGAAAGACGATCCTCAATCTGCCCATACCTCAGTCTTCAGTGTCTTCCTGTCCTTTCCTGGTGCTTCAGGTGAGTGGGGGCCCTGCTCTGAGCCTCATCTCCATACATCTCTGCCTCAGTCTCCCTGGGCATTTGCTGCACCTAGAGAAAATCCATGCCTCCTCGAAACTCACCCTGAGTCTGCCCCCACCTGTGTCTTCCAGTCTTTTCCTGCTACTTAATGTGAGTGGGGGCCCTGCTCTGAGCCTCAAGTCTCTACATCCCTGACTATGTCTCCATGGAAAATTGCTGCACCTAGAGAAGACCTATGCCCCCTAGAAGGACCACCCTGTGTCTTCCCACATTGTGTCTTCCCACACTGTGTCTTCCGGTCCTTTCTTGGTGCTTAATGTGAGTGGGGGTCCTGCTCTGAGACACAACTACCTACATCCCCTGTCTCTGTATACCTGTGCATGTTCTGTGCCTAGAGGTGACCTGGCACTCCTGGTAAAATCACCGTGAGTCTGCAGACACCTCAGTCTTCATTGTGTTCTCATCCTTTTCTGTTGCTTATGTCCTCTCTGATATCTGTCTTGTTCTTGAGAGGGTTCCAGACTCACCTTTCACCACTGAAGTATTTTACATACTTGAACACACTGGAAATGATCCTTATACCCAAACCCACCAGGTGTGGAAGAGACCCCATGAGCACCCACTGAAAGAAAGGATGGGAAAAAGGCAATAGGAAAACACAGCCAACAACAATGGAGCCAGTATACCACCAGCATTTAGTACACCAGCAAGATCTGAACATATCAACACAAATTAAACAGAAAAGAATGACCTTCAAAACAACCTCCTGAAATTGATAGATGCCCTCAAAGAGGATATGAGAAATTCACTAAAAGAAATGGAAGAAAACACAGACCAAAAATTGCAAGAAATCAAGGAATCCTTTAATGAAAGCAATGAAAGCAAAGAAAAAATTCAAACAGATGAAGGAAACAATTCAAACAGTTTAAGATCTGAAAACTGAAATGGAGACAATAAGAAAAACACAAACAGGGGTAATGCTGGAATTCGAAAGGCTGAATAAACAATGAGGAACTACAGATGCAAGCATAACTAACAGAATATAAGAGATGGAAGACAGAATCTCATGCACTGAAGATAAACTAGAGGAAATAGATTCATGGACAAATGAAAGTCTTAAATCCAACAAAGGCTTAACACAAAATATCCAGGAAATATGGGACTCCCTGAAAAGACCAAATCTAAGAATAATAGGTATAGAAGCAATCAAAGAATCCCAGCTCAATGGTGCAGAAAACATATTCAAAAAATCATAGAAGAAAATTTTCCCAACCGGTAGAAGGTCAGACATTGTTAAGAAACAATGTCTGACATGTGTTTCATCCATGAACTCAATGATCAGTCTTCCTAAATAGAGACAATAACAAAAGAAACCAAAAGGAGAAACAAAGGAAGAAAAGAGAAGGAAGAAGAGAAATAAGAAATGATGAGAATAAAACTACACTGAATATAATAAATTTGAAAATGAGTAGAGAGAATATTAGAAGATGAATGTGAATGACTGGAAGGGTGGAGATGGCAGGGAGGTAGGAAAGAAGACGCAAATAAGTACAAAAGCATGAGGGAAACATAAATACAAAGGTAATATTTAATTAGGAAATGATACAAATACCACACATATAAATATGTATACAGAATAAAAGTTCCTTCATAAACATATATATATATATATATATATATATATATGATATATTTACAAGCTACAAGAGTTCCCTGGTAGAGTTCTTTGGGTCATTTATATAAACTATCATATCATCTGCAAATAGTGAAAGTTTGACCTCTTCCTTTCCAAATTGTATTCCCTTGATCTCCTTTTGTTTTCTTATTGCTATTGATTGAACTTCAAGTACAATTTTGTAAAGGAATGGAGAGAGTGGACAGCCTTCCCTTGGACCTGATATTAGAGGAACTGCGGTCAGTTTTTTCTACATTTAGTTTAATGTTGGCTGTTGGTTCGCTGTATTATGTTTAGGTATGTTCCTGTTTTCCAGATCTCTCCAAGGCCTTCAGCATGAAGGGATGTTGCATTTTGTCAAAGACTTTTTCAGCATCCAGTGAGATGATCACGTGATTTGTGTTTCTCAGCATGTTTATATTGTGGATTACATTGATGGGTTTTCGTATGTTGAACCAACCCTGCATGCCTGGGAAGAAGCATACTAGATCATGGTGGATGAGTTTTCTGATGTGATCTTGGATCTGATTTGCCAGCATTTTATAGAGTATTTTTGCATCAATGTTCATGAGGTATATTGGCCTGAAGTTCACTTTCTTAGTTTTGTCTGTGTATGGCTTTGGTAGCCAGAGGCTATGTGAAACCTCATAGATAGAGAACTACCAAATAGAGTGGACCACAAAAAGAATCCCTCGCCACATAATAATCAAGACCCCAAACATACAGAATAAAGAAAGAATATTAAGAGCAGCTAAGGAAAAAGGTCAAGTAACATATAAAGGCAGACCTATCAGAATTACACCTGATTTCTCCATGGAAACGCTGAAAGCCAGAAGGTCCTGGATAGATATTCTACCTACACTAAGAGACCATGGATGCCAGCCCAGACTACTATACCCGGCAAAGCTCTCAATCACTATAGACGGAGAAAACAAGATATTCCATGACAAAACTAGATTCAAGCAATATGTGTCCACTAACCCAGCCCTACAGAAAATTTTGGAAGGAAAACTCCAACCCAAGGAAGCTAACTACAACCAGAAAAACATAAGCATTAGAGAATCCCTCTCTACCAACAGCCAAAAGAACAAAGGGGTGAAACTCCACACATAATTCCACCAACAACAACCATCGCAAATCGAAGAAGGATGAGCAATCATTGGTCATTAATATCCCTCAATATTAATGGCCTTAACTCACCCATAAAAAGACACAGACTAGCAGAATGGATTCGAAGACAGAACCCTTCTTTCTGCTGCATACAAGAAACACACCTCACCCTCAAAGACAGACATTACCTGAGAATTAAAGGTTGGGAAAAAATTTTCAATCGAATGGACCCAAGAAACAAGCAGGGGTAGCAATCCTAATATCTAACAAACTAGACTTTAAAATAAAATCAATCAAAAGAGATGAAGGAGGTCATTACATACTCATCACAGGTGAAACCCACCAAGATGAAGTGTCTATCCTGAACATCTATGCCCCACATACAAAGGCATCCACATTCGTTAAAGAAACATTATTAGAACTTAAATCTCATCTAAAGCCCCACACAGTTATAGTGGGAGATTTCAACACACCACTCTCACCACTAGACAGGAATACCAAACAGAAACTCAACAAAGAAGCAAAGGGTCTAATAGAAGTAATGACCCAACTGGGATTAACAGATATCTATAGAACATTTCATCCACATAAAAAAGAATATACCTTCTTCTCACCACCACATGGAACCTTCTCAAAAATCGACCACATACTTGGCAACATATCAAACCTCAGCAGCTACAAAAAAATTGGAATAACTCCATGCATCTTATCAGACCACCATGCTTTAAAATTAGAATTCAACAACAACACAAATTGCAGAAAACCTACAAACTCATGGAAATTGAATAATGCTCAACTGCACCATCCCTGGGTCAAAGAAGAAATAAAAAAGAAATTAAAGACTTCCTCGAATTCAATGAGAATGAAGACACAACATACCCAAACCTATGGGACACTTTGAAAGCAGTGCTACGGGGGAAGTTCATAGCGCTAAATGCTCACATGAAGAAACAGGAGAACAGTTATACCAGAGAATTAACATCACAGCTGAAAGCTCTAGAACACAAAGAAGCACACTCCCCCAGGAGGAGTAGACGCCAGGAAATAATCAAATTGAGGGCTGAAATCAATAAAGTAGAAACCAGGAAAACAATACAAAGAATCAACGCAACGAAGAGTTGGTTCTTTGAGAAAATCAACAAGATAGACAAACCTTTGTCCAAACTTACCAAACAGCAGAGAGTGAACATGCAAATTAACAAAATCAGAAATGAAAAGGGGGACATAACAACAGACTCTGAGGAAATCCAGAGAATCATTAGGTCATACTTTGAAAACCTGTACTCCACAAAATTCGAAAATTTAAAGGAAATGGATGACTTACTGGACAGCTATCAATTGCCAAAACTAAATCAAGAACAGATAAGCAATTTAAATAGACCTATAACCCCTATGGAAATAGAAGCTGTCATCAAAAGTCTACCAACCAAAAAAAGCCCAGGTCCAGATGGACTCAGTGCAGAATTCTACCAGAAATTCAAAGAACAGCTTATACCAATTCTTCCCAAAGTGTTCCACACAATAGAAGCAGAAGGGTCTTTGCCAAACTCTTTCTATGAGGCTTCAATAACCTTGATCCCCAAGCCACACAAAGACACAACTAAGAAAGAGAACTTCAGACCAATATCCCTCATGAACATTGATGCAAAAATACTCAATAAAATACTGGCAAATCGGATCCAAGAACACATCAAAACAATCATTCACCACGATCAAGTAGGTTTCATCCCAGGAATGCAGGGATGGTTCAACATACGAAAATGCCATCAACGTAATCCACCATATAAACAAGCTGAAAAACAAAAATCACATGATCATCTCACTAGATGCTGAAAAAGCCTTTGACAAAATCCAACACCCCTTCATGATAAAGTTCTTGGAGAGATCTGGGATAACAGGGACATACTTAAACATAATAAAAGCTATATACAGTAAACCAACAGCCAACATCAAACTAAATGGACAGAAACTCAACGCAATTCCTCTAAAATCAGGAACAAAACAAGGCTGTCCACTCTCTCCATACCTTATCAACATGGTACTTGAAGTTCTAGCTATTGCCATACGACAACAAAGGGGGATCAAGGGGATACAAATTGGGAAGGAAGAGGTCAAACTTTCACTGTTTGCAGTCGATATGATAGTTTACATCAATGACACAAAGAACTCTACCAGGGAACTCTTACAGCTGATTAACACCTTCAG